CCACGAAGTGGAGGTGGTTTTGTTCATTTAGTTGCAGCTAAAAGCACCAAAAAACTCCAAGCCAACTGCACAACTCTATGTCCCACTTCTTCAGAGGCCACAGCGAGGTCACAGGAGCTGCCACCACTCAAGGACAATGACCATCAGGAAATACAGCCTAACATCTTCTTGGCTGGCTGGTGAAGGATACTTAAAAGTAAATTAAAAACCACTAAAATGGCAAATGTGCTGGCTGAGAGGGCTCCTGCAGTCTTGAAAAACAAGAACCTCCCTTAGAAACAGCACTCCGGCCTCCTAATAACCTTAATCGCTCCCGACAGCCCCAAGAACCAGGTTTAACAACATGACTGGGCTTTGTTTGCTTTTCAGGCTGCTTTATCTCACACAGCACCTTGCAATCAGCTCAGGCAAAACCCCAGTTCCTCTAAAACTCCCCCGTCTCCCTGCAGTCACAAACTCCAGCTCCCAAAACAGAGGCTGGGGCAGAGCCTGGTGCTGGCACGCTGGCATCCCATCATGGGAAACCCCCAGTAAATCTGGGAAAGCTCTGTGCTGCCCTTTGTACTCCCCAGCTTGAAGGGCAAGGTAATAAAAACATCTTTTTTTATCTCTTTTTGCTAGATTTACATCCCCATCTGGGCTACATAAATATTGCCCATGTCAGTGCATCCCTGCGTGGGGTTAGAGGAGAGTTGGGAGCCTGATGGACGTGGGAAAGGCCCCAGGAATGCTGAGGTTCACAGCACCCTTGGCCAATAAAGCTGTGAAACAGGCCCAGCACAGCACCCTGGTAATTAATAAAAGCTCCAAATCCTGCAGATTTGGGCAAGAAGGTGACAACCACAGTGTCACCTTCAGGAGATGGGAGCCTCCAAAAGGCCAGCAATGGACAATGACCCCCTCATCCCAATTTAGTTGGGATCATTTCCAAGGATTACCTCTTGCAATCAAAGCAACGTGGCCAACACGTTGAGGGAGGAGATTCTCCCCCTTCTCAAGGGAGCTGGACAGGGACAGGACACAGGGAATGGCTCCCCACTGCCAGAGGGCAGGGTTAGACAGAATACTGGGAAGGAATTGTTCCCTGTGAGGGTGGGCAGGCCCTGGCACAGGGTGCCCAGAGAAGCTGTGGCTGCCCCTGGATCCCTGGCAGTGTCCAAGGCCAGGTTGGATGGGGCTTGGAGCAGCCTGGGACAGTGGAATGTGTCCCTGTCCATGGCAGGGGTGATTTTTAAGGTCCCTTCCAACCCAAAGCATTCTGTGATTTACCCTCACACTGCGATTTCTCTTCCCAGCTCCTAAAGCTCCAGCCACGCTCACTCACCCACAGAATCTCCTTTAGCCCAGAGAGGAGTGCAGAGCTTCTCCTCCCTCTCTTTCATATGACTGTTAGCATGAAATGCTTTATTTTCTCCAAAAACCCCTTGTTCTTTTTTACCAAGCCTTCATTACAGTGCTGGAGTAAAAACAGTATTTTCCACCTGTGCTCACCTGTCCTAAGGATGTGAAATCAGCACAAAGAAATTCCCCAGCAAAACGGGTGGGAATTCAGGAATAAGGGTGACATCAGCCCTGCCCTGACCTCAGGATCTGGCCACTCAGGGGCTGTGGTCCATTCCAGCTTCCCTAAGCACAGGGAGCTCCAGCAGCCTCTGCTCCCCGTCTGGAGCTGGGCTAAAGGGGGGAAGCTGTTCCCCCAGTTCTTGCACACAGATCAGGGAATGCTGATGGACACAGAGATGGCCTGAGGAGCTGCAGCCAAACCACACCAGCTCCTCAGGCCATCACTCCAAATGCTTTCAGTTCCATTTCCAGGCCCCAAACCATTAAATATTAAGCAAAGAGAGTTAATCTATACCTGGGATATTGACACAAAGCAGAGGAGGGGAGAAGAAAAAGATAAATAGACCTTTTTAAAAAAAAAACCAAAATGTGTGTGCCTCTGCAGGCTGTCCCACCAGGGCTTTCCAGACCTCAGGTACGGCACCAAGGACGTGTTTGGAGGAACAAAATGCACCAAGAAATGTCACTCTCCTGGCTCTGCCCAGGTAGCTGGAGCACCCTCTGGGACCCTCAGGTGGCTCCTTGGCTGAGGGCACAGCCCTGGTCAGGGACAAGGCCACCTGGTGATCCCCTCTCCCAAGGCTGGGGCAAGTCCAAGCAGAAGCAGAGCAGACACTGAGGTAAGGAAGGGCTTTTGGAGCTGAGGAGGATGAAGGTGCTGGACTGGCTCATCTGGCCCTTGGCTCAGTGTCAGCCCTCACTGTGGGACAGCCACGGATCTGTGGATCCCTCAGCACCGGAATGAGCCTTGTACAACCGGAGGCAAACGTCACCACTCGTCTCCCGGCAAACACCCTCAAGCATCACTCAACACCTCTCCAGCAAAGCTGGATTTTTTTTTTCTTTCCTGGCCGAGTGCTCACATGTATATTATTTTTTTTATTCCGGTCTCAGCATTCCTCCACTCCCCCCGCAAGAAAACAAACCCGAGAGCACAGAGTGTGCCTTGCAAAGGCCCCGGCGCGGCGTCCCGCGGGGAAGGGGCACGCGGTGGTCGCAGCAGCCCGCCCGCCCCAGCCCGCCGTGCTTGTTGACATAGGCAGCACAGTATATTTCTTTAAAGAGGGGAGCCTATGCATTCGATGCATTGCTGCCACGGGGTTTGTTTTCAAAGCCTGACCCCAGACCTGAACTCCACGGATCCTGCGTTCCTCAAGATCAAACGCAAGAAAACGTGACCAATGCAAACAAGAAATAAACCTTGATAATTATAGCCGGGGCGGCTATTGTTTAGTGCCGACTAGCACCCGCTTTAGCATAAACAGAACCCTATTTTTAAAGGGATGCCTGACCAGCTGACAGCATTTCTCCCCATTTTGCCTCCAAACCCCCTGTTTGATAGAAACCCACCTCCCTGAGACCCGGAGAAGGTTTAAGAGCACAGACAAAAGGCTGAGCCATGCCCACAGCCATACTGGAAGCTGCTGCTGGAGCAGGGAGCGGATCCTGGTCCTCCCAACCTGCTCCCTGTTGGCGGGGGATGAGGGGCTCCCTGGGGTCCGGCTGTTGCCTGCAGCTGGTGGGCTCAGAGTGACGTCGGAGGACAAACAGACAGCACCGGTCTTTTCAGGAAGGCCACATCACTTAGCGCTTGGAAAGGAGCTACGATATTTTCCTGATTATGTTTGCACGCAAACGAGCGCCGCGGGGAAATTATGCAATGCTGAGCGGGGAGGGGTGGGAGCGAGAGAGGAAGGGCTGGAGGGGGGCTCCGGGCTGCACCCCACTGCCCTCAGCCCCAGCCAGTGCAGCTGCAGCCCCGGAGGTGCCGCAGATGGATCCACCACCGCCGCCGGAGCCTCCGCACCACAACCTCGGAGCCGCCACTCAGTTATTAACGGCCTCTTCATTAAGCACCCAGACCAAAATGCAGATATTCGTCACCCAGGCAATTTAATTACCCAGCCTGGGTTCACCTCGCACACCCACACGCCTTTCTTTTTCGAGGCCTCTGTGCGGTCACAGCCTTAAATAAATAGATGGCAGGAGCAAGAGGCAGATGCTGACTCCTACAACCTCTGTCTTGGGCACAGAGCCTTTAAACCACCAGAACTTGCAGTATTTAATTTCTTTTGTTACCGTTTCTACGTTTAGAGCCCTGCCTTAGGCTTTCTAGATACAATCACAGGCAGCAGGAAACAGAGAGCTACACTATGAGCTTCCTGGGCATCACATGCGCTCACACACAACACACACACACTCCCAGCCCATCAATCACCCTAATTACAACTGGCCATACGTCTGCAGCTCGCTGTGGCACTCCGTTAGTGCCCGTAATTACACGGTCCCATCATTTCCCTGGTAAGAGTATCACGGAGTTAATTTGGGATTCTACATGTGGTGGATCCTGTAATGAATTTCATCCTGGCGCGCTCCCCGCCGCACTCGCCGGCCATGCGCCAGCTGAGGGAGGGAGCGCGGGCAGCGCTGCTCCCCAAAACAAGGCTCCAAGGTCCTTACACAGCCCTGGCACTCATCTCTCCTCAGCACACTCCTGGCTCCTGGCTGCTGCCCACATCCCACCCTGAGTCCCACCTCAGCACCACAGGCAGGTCCCCTCACCACCCCTCGTCTCCACCTGGCAGATGAGAGCAAGGTGGGCCACGGGTGTCCACCACGAGGATGGATGTGATCTTCCAGGGGGGACAGCAGGACCTGGGATAAGGCTGAGCCTCCCAACACCAGTGTCCAGCTGGGACCACCGCGCCAGCAGGCTGGTGTCCCTCTGCCAAGTCTGCTTCAACAGCAGGGTCTTGGCAGCAAGGAACACCCCTTTCCTCCATATTAACCCTACCCAGTCTGCACCCTGGCCGGGCCTGTTGGTCCTACCAAAACACACAGCTGGCTGCAGTCCATGGATCCTGCTTTTCAGGGATGTGAAGTGCTGGAGACCCCGCGCTGCCCTCGGAGTGACCGCGCAGGTGGCGCTGCCAGCCCTGCCCTGTGCCGGCCGTCCCACTGAATGGACGCGGCTCGCAGGGAGCGTGGCAGCAGGGCAGATGCTCTCCTGGAGCCACCCCCGGCCAACAAGGCAGACAGATAAAAAGCTTGAAAACCCATAAAACAGAACAATAATAAAGAAAACTAGAGGGGGTGGCTCACACCCAGAAGCTGATTCACCAGCGCTGCTCTGCTTTACCCCAAGCACACCGGCAGGACAAGCTAAGGGCGTGTTTTCAGCCGAATTACTTTTAATTGAGTACATCGGAGCTTAGAAACACATGATGCTGTCAGAGATAAATATAGCCACGGCTACGAGGATAGAGGGGGCAGGGAGCAATCGAGGTTCCACACAGCCGAGAAGGAGCTTCCAGCTCCGGGAGGCAGCGCCGGCCGCGCCGCCGCACCTCTCCCCGCTCCGCTCGGGCATCTCCGCTCCGCTCGGGCACCCCCCGCACGCACTGCCCGGCCCGGGGAAGGGGCCGCGGAGCCCATACCTGTTTTAAACTCTAGCGCTGGATCCTTCTCCCCCTCGCCCAGGTCGCTCTGCAGCATCATGTAGAGGATCCCGAAGGAGTTGTGGATGCCGAAGATGGAGCCGTTGCACCAGGCGGCGGCGAAGACCACCACCCAGCCGAAGCCGCCCTCGGGGGGTTCGAAGGGCGCGGCGACCCCGCTCTGTCCCCGCTCAGCCGCGGCCGGGGCCCGGCGGGGCGCGGGGGGCGGCAGGGAGCGATGGGGGAGCCGCCGCCGCCCCCCGGCCCCGCACAGTCCCCCGGCCGCGGGGCATCTCGGTGGCCCGGCGGGGGATGCTGCCGCTCCCTCCGCCCCGCCGCGAAGCCCCCGGAGCCGCCCGAGCAGGTGGCAAACAGCCGGCGAGGTGGCAAACAGCCTTTCCTTCCACGCCGGGCGTCCCGGTGGGATTCTTGGCGTGCCCTACCCCGAAAAGTTCGGAGAGCCTTTGTGTGACACCGACCCGGCTTCTTGCCGGGGGAAGCCGCCGACCCCACCCCGGCAGCGGGGGCTGTCCCCAGGGCCGCGGGTCACCCCACGCTGCCTTCTCCGGACGGGATAGCGGCGGCCACCCAAACCCAATGATTTCGGGAGCTGTTCCTTCGCCTCCGCCTTGTTTTGCAGCAAGCTCTGCCTTTCTCCTTCTTTCAATAAATAATTACAAACCCACCAATATATTAAAGCCTGTCTTTTCACACGCTGAAGGTATTTACACTTTCATATATGCCAAGTCTGAGTGATTATTCTTTCTTTCCCCTAATGGCTGTGTCAGTGTCAGATTCCTATCAGAGTAAAATAATACATCCCTACCTCCCGCTGCTCTTTCTTTACCTCCAGGGATATTAATTACAGGGCAGGGTGCGGAGCCGGCAGGGAGGCGGCGGCAGGGCCGCACTATCTCCTGCCTCTCCCGAAGCCGGAGAGCAGCACCCGGCCACGGGCTGCGGCTTGGGAACACTTTTGTCTACGTGCCGCGGCTCGCCGGGCTTGGAGAACCCCTCTGGCACACGGCTACAGCCAGAAAAACCTCTCCTCGGCCTTCCCGCCTGCTCCCGCCGGCAAATCACTGCCAGCTCCATCGCCATCCGCTTCCTCCCAGGCAGAGGATGAGGAGCAGCGGCTCTGCCGGCTCTGAGCCGCCTCTGTGAGCGATGGCGAGAGCCGAGCTGCAGGGATGCGCCGATGGGGAGCGCGGTCTCCTCCCCTCGCCTTCCCTCCTGGGCTCCGCGCCGATGATGAGCCCAAATCCCCCCGGCCGGTGGGCTGCCCGGCGGGAACGCCGCGCTCCGGTCAGCCTCGCTGCTGGAGGAACTGCATTTTTATTTCCTTTCCTCTCTGGTGGAGTCTCCTCCCCGGATCCCCATCTCCACAGCGCGGCCGGGGGAGGCTTGGGAGGTTTGGAAGCATCTTCCACTGCCCTCTGCCGACACAACGAGCAGCTAAATTTTAATTTCCACATCAGCAGAAAGCCTGCTCAGGTTCCCGGCCTGCTGGTTTTATTTTGTTAAGCCTCTGCAAGCTGACAGAGAAGGGGCCTGGGGTACCCCGGGTGGTGCACAGGAAAGCTGCCCCCCCAAAATGTTAATTCTCCACAGCAGCAAAACAAGGTTGGATTAAAAACAGCAGTGAGTGAGAGAGGTGGGAGAGCCCTTTGCCATAGAAACCACCATGTTATGGAGACTTCTTCCCTCTGGAGCTGCAGAAGGCTCTCACAGACTGGGAGACAGGAGGTTAATACTCCTTAGACCTCGAGCCAGACACAAAACACAGGGAGCAACATCTCGCCTGGATGTTGGCTGCATGGTGCCTGGACAGAGCATTTTTTGGCCCAGGCATCACTGGGCTGGACTGGACCAGTGAGACTGAGGAGTAAAAAATCACAGAAGGGGCTGAAAAAGTGGGGTTAAAATTCTGGGCTGGGTGAGATGATGGAGGTTTCATCGAGGAGGGAGATGCAGCCTGGGAAGCTCTGGGAAATCCAAGCAGGAACAGCTCTGCCTGCTGTAAGAACAAGAAGCATCCCACCCAGAGGCTCTGCAGCTTCATAACCACAAGATGAAAGAAACACTGAGGAAAACCAGACAAAGCTGCTCTTCCCTGGTTGAACTCCATGCTAAAGCACACTTCTGTGTCTGCCATACGGTTTCCCTCAAAGCCCTGAGCCTGCCAGCTTGGTGAGGGATGCAGTGGATGGCAGCAGCACCTCCAGGCTCTCCAGATCCACATCTGGCATCCCTGGAGAGCTGGCAGGGAGCACCTCATGTCACAGCTGACGAGCCCCCGGCCAGCCGGGCAAAGCGTGGCTGTCAGCAGCGTGTGCTTGGCTCCAAACCACGGTGCCAGAGCCCCTGCCAGAGGGATTGGCCCCTGCTCAACGTGTGTGCCTGGTGGTGCAGAAGGGGAGGAGGAATGGAAATACCTGTGCAAACAGCTTGGGAAGTGCTGTGGGGGGGACGTGGCCTTGGAGAACACAAATCCCCAGTGGCTTTGCATCCTGGCTTGGTTTTAGTGACAAGGGGATGATGCCTTAAGTTTCAGCTTTCATATCTTCCAGATTCTGTACTGCATTGGTGTCTAACTCTGAACTTCATATGAAGTGTCAGCAAGCTCTCCTCACAGCTCAGTCTTACAAAACAATCCTTTCCCAGCCCCAGAACCAAGGACACCTTTGCAGCTTCAGGCCCAAAAAGTGCAAACAGCAGGGAATTGAGGAGAGCAAACTGGGAAGATGGGACTGCATCACCTGGAGCTGGAATTGGACAATTAACCCCAATATGGAAATGGACCAAAACTTATAAAAGTGTGAAAACTCATGACTTGGGTTCCATCTTGGGTGTAGCCTCGGCCAGGCTCTTGCATTGCCCAGGGTGAATCCTGTGAAGGCCTTTTAATAAATCCCCACTTTATTCCTTTAACTCTGTCCAGCCTCTGTTCTAGGCAGCCTCTCAAACCATCACACCGTAGGGTGTCCTGAGGACAAAACTTCACTGACAGCATCTGCTGCAGGGTCAAAAGCTCTGGGAAAACATCTCTAGTGGAGAGCAGCTCTCAGCAGAGACATTCACATGCTGGGCACAGCCCCTTGCTGTCATTAGCAATGCTCCTTTCTTTAGATTGGAGCTGTAGTTAAGACAGCTGCTGCATCTGGCCTGGCAGAGACACTGTCCCAGAGATAAAAGGAGCTCAGGGGCAGCCTTAGGGACATGGCAGAACTCCCTCCCTGGCAGGGATACTGGAATGCAGAGTTTGGAGCCCAAGGCTAGTCCCAGGGAGAAGGCAGAGAGAGGACCAGCACACTGCAATGTCCTTCCTCTGCCTGACCTTCCCAATGTTTGGAATCAAAAATATCACAGGTGGCATTTTCCATCTTTTTGGCAAGATTGATTCTACCTAGCTTGGCTGAAAAATGAGGCAACTTGGAAGTGCTGGTGTGAGCAGTGGGTTTTCAAGGAGCCACGTGCCACCAAACCCCACATTTGGCTCCATTTTGGCAGTGGAAATCACAGCAAGTGTGTCCACTCAAGTGGCTCCAGGTTGGGTGGGGAACCTGGTGCTTCTCAGACTCTGCTGCCCTACCTGATTTTCATGCAGCTGAGCAAAACTACTGTTTCTGGCCCAAACAGAGGAACAGGGTGGATCTATGTTGTATTAAAGGGCTTTTGGAGCCACACAGCTGCCTGCTCACCTTCAACCATCCAGCTGCAGAGGTGCGGAGGGCATTTTCTGAGCGTGCCTCACCGGTTTTCTATATTTCCTTTGAAATAGGAGCTCCAAGGGCACGTTCCTGTGGGGAAGTGGAAGTTCCTGCCCAGCCCCACCAACCCCAACCACGAGGCAGCCGCCAGCGGCCGCCCCAGCTGTGCCACGTAACCCCACAGGACCTCGGCGCGAGGTGCCAGAGATGCTCTGCTGATGGCAAGAGCTCGAGCCGGCACACAAAGGAGGCAAGGATCCAGCTGTAAATTAATATTTTATAGAACACCAAGAAAAATCAGAGAGGCTAATTACAGTGATAATCATCTCGGCCCGGAGGCATTTCCATGGAAGTCAGGAATTACCCAGGATTACCTCAGCCCTCGCAGCAGCCCGCGCGGGAGGCGAGCGCGTGCGGCCGTGCCACGGCACCAAACCTCCTCCTGGGCCAGCTGGGGGTCCACGACCCCAAACAAAGAGCTTTGGCAGCCTCCTGGCATCGCACTCCAGCTGCACGGCCTTTGGCTTGCTGGGCTGGTTGGGGTGGATGGAGATGGAGGGGTGCTGGGGTTTGGGGCTGGGTGCTCCCCTGGGCCCCGCTGGGCCTGTTTGTCTGCAGTGTCACTGACGTGGGAGCCACTGCTGGCACCAAGCTGCTCACACCTCCGAGGGGTTCAGGGAATCACTGGCAAAAACTTTGTGGATGTGCCCCCAGGATAAGTTTTTCCTATCGCTCATTAATTTACTGTTATTAACTGATATTTGCATGGTTTATCCAGTGATGGAATGGATTCCCTTGGGAAAGGGTGAATTCCCCATCAGCTCCTCACTTTGGAGGGTGGGGGCACTGCCCAGCATGGCAAAAATGTGGCTCATGGCAAGCCTGGAACACCTCTGGGAGCTGCAAGGCCAGGAGTTCTGCAGCCTCCTGTCCCACACAAAGGGACAAAGCCAGCCCAGACACCTCCAGGGGAGTAGAGAAGCCTTGGTGCAGAGGGTTTGTGCCCCTGAGCTCGAGCAGAGGACACTGCTGGTCTGAACACCCAGAAAAAAACACAGGTAAAACCCCACGTGTGCTGTGCACAGAGCTGGGAAGAGCCCGGGCTGAGGCTGGCCCTGGGCTGGGGGTGCTGAAGATGCTCAGATCTGTGGGTGCTGCTGTCTGCACCCTCCCCTTCCCCTGCCCTCACCCTCCCAGGCTGTGTGGGGCACCCTGGGCACGCTGCCTGTGCCCCCCACGCTCGGGTGTGTGCGTGCCTGAGAGCACCCAGGAATACAGCAGCTGGTCTGGGGGCTCCAGGGGCTGAGGCCGGGGCAGTCGTGCCATCCTTTGGGTTTGCTCCTGGCACTTGGAGGGTCTGTGACCTGCTGAGCTGCTCCTGGCAGCACTGAGAACTCCAGAGCTGCTCCGAGCGAGGGCTGGGGGTCACTGAGGGCTGCAGGCAGGAGGGGACAGCTCTGTCCTGAGCACGGCAGAGGGGCTGCTCACCCCTCCGGT